GTGTCTGTGTGTAAAAGCGTCTGTGTGTAAAAGTTTCTGTCTGTAAAGGTGTCTGTGTGTAAAAGCTTCTGTGTGTAAAAGCGTTTGTGTAAAAAGCGTCTGTGTAAAAGATTGTGTGTGTACAATCTTCTGTGTGTAAAAGCCTCTGTGTGTAAAAGCTTCTGTGTGTAAAATCTTCTGTGTGTAAAAGCCTCTGTGTGTAAAAGCGTCTGTGTCTAAAGCCGTCTGTGTGTAAAAGTCTGTTGTGTAAAAGTGTCTTTGTGTCAAAGCGTTTGTATGTAAAAGTGTCTGCGTGTAAAAACGTGTGTGTGTGTAAAAGTGTCTGTGTGTAAAAGTCGTCTGTGTGTGAAAGTGCCTGTATGTAAAAGCTTCTGTGTGTGAAAGCTTTTGTGTGTAAAAACGTCTGTGTGTAAAAGCTTCTGTGTGTAAAAGTGTTTGCGATGCAAACTATTGTCTTGTACTTGTGCTATATTGTCTTGATACTCCTCTTCTCGACTGCCTATAACACATCTTTAATATATTGTTTTGTAATATGGTGTCTCCATACTAACAAGAGAAGACCCTGCTCCTCTACGCTCTCGGGCCATCCGTCGTCTAGTTCCATTGACCGAGAGTGGCCAACTTTCCACGCCGCAGGTCCCAACATCCTGTGTCACTCGTGCAGGCAGGGGACATTGGAACCTATTTTTCTCCATCTGGAGAAAGAGTTGAACCGGAACTCTGATGAACAACAAAATAACTGGTACAGGTAGATGGTCATGCGGATAGGATATGATACCCGGGAGACCAAAAAACGGTTTTGATATCCAAAAAAATCAAACAAAAATATAAAAATCAGTATCCATAGCATGTGAAGATCTTGCCAGGCCTCCTGGCCAGAAGTGTCAGGCCGAAACCCAACTGGCCGGTACCTGCGGTATGGGAACACGAATAACACGATCAAGGACGTGCTAAGACTCCAGAAAACCAGGGATTCCACGGGATTCCTAGACGTTTTCTATTATTATTATTATTTTTTGGTTGATTTCTATGATTTCTATGATTTCTGGCCCTCAAACCATTTTGTTCCAAGTAAGTTGTGGGCATTTGCTGCCACGGTAGCTGGTCTTGATGGTCTTGGACATGGAGCACGACAAATCGCATGCTGAGTTCATATGGAACCACACTTTGTGCGAAGGCTTGCCACAGCTCTCGGCTGTTGCAGATGAGTATGTGCCTGTCTGGGACCCTCAGCAGCTCCGGCAAACGACACGGCAGCGACAGATTTCTTCTTTGTCTGCATTACATCATTTAGAACAAATTGCCGACATTAATCAGGGTTGCTCCACCCCATTATCGGTAAATTATAGCCACAAACAGGGAAAATTGGTCATTTTATCTCTTTATCTAGCCATTTTATTTGGGCTGTTGGGAGCAGCCCTGGTAATGTCACCTGCCGGCAAACCTAGGTTGCTCCGAGTGAAAGGGACGTGCTAGAGGCAGAGACGCAAACAGCACTGGGATTTCTTGGAAGCAGAATTTGGACTCGGTTGGCGTTTGTATCCTTCATGCACGGTACTATATTCTACATACAGCACGGACATTCCATTACACAAAAGTATAGCTGGCGAAACCATTTCTCAGCTTTTATCTTCAACAGTGCGTCTATTCACGGTTAAGACATACGTACTTTCCTGCAAGAAGCAAGTTTCTGTTCCTCCCTTGAGTTGGCGACTTCGAGACTGCTATGGAATGGCTTAAAATTACATACCCCACAAAATGATGGGTAAACACCTGTAAACACTAAACATATCCGATTTTGTGCGTCCATTGGCACTGGATTTCGGGTCATCCGTATCTTCTTCGACTTTTTTAGCACAGGAAGCGCCGCCTCCTGGTTCTACTTGGTACTGGCATCTCCAGGCCCTAGTGATCCAGTGCAAAAGATTTTCTTCCAAGCGGTCGCAAGGATCGGCTTGGATCGGCTTATGATAGGCTTATGATATTGTATTGTGTTGCATATTGGAATGTATTGGATCATATTAGGCTCAGGCTCTTTCTATGTGAAAAGGCATGATTTCAACTGTAGTTTCACTTGTGTTTCCGGTGCGCTTCTTTTTGTGAGTTTTTGTGCATCATGGGGACCGGGTAAGGGAACTGACATTTTGAAAAGGTGGGCAACGTTGTCCTCAGCAAGTCTGAACTTCGTCCTGGGAGGTGCGTGCGTAAGACTTTTATGTTGCAGCAGGTCTTGCTTTTTTTTTCTGTTTAAGTTTCAGACAGTGACCCTTTGCACCCTATGAAGCCCGCACTCGGGTTTGCACTCTGACTGTTGCCAGCTGGAAGCTCCGCCACCGGGTGACAGGTGGCATGAAATTTCGTTGGTGGTGAACTGCAAGGAAGGACGTGCTTTCCTTTCTGTGGATGGAAAGCAGGCTGGTCAGCGATTTGTGTTTCCTCCCTTTATCAACTGGATCATGCCTTGTCCACGTTGTGCACATTCCTTGGCTCCTTTGTTTATAAAGGCAGAAACCAAGCTGACTTGCTGGTCCTCATGAGGTTCGCGACGACAAGGGTGAAAGCTGGGTGGTCATTGGTGAAGGTACAGGCAGGCTTGTTCACTTGAGAGAATCCTTTTTTGCACCATACTTGAAGCCCGAACTGCAGTCTACAAGTTTTAGATGGGGGAATGACACTCCCTTGATTGTATAATATTGTATAATTGTTGCTTGTAGATGTGCTCTTCCTGCCTGTTTGAGGCAAATCACCTTTGGCTATCAAGCGCGGCGGCTTCCTACTCTTTGCTTCCTCGGAGGCCCGAAAATCCATGGCAGGTGGTTTAAACAGGTTTAAACTAACTATCAAACCCATCTTACCTGGAATATCCTGGAATGATATCACTTGACTAATAGTTTATGATATCTCGCTTCAAAGCTACATGGACTCCTCAAACTATGGTGTGCTGAACCCATGCCATGTCAGGCATCTTGGATGCCTGGCGGATGCTTCCTGCGTCGTTGTTCTTTCACCAGTGATCTTGGCAGCAATATATACTGTGTATATATATAATATTGATTATCATTATCATGCAATGATTCCAATGACCTGGCTTGGAAAACTGCAGCTGTGGGTTGAGGTGACACTGTATCGAAGCACATGTCAGCGCTAAGGGAAGACCAGCTCATTCTGGGAATCAATCAGCTTTGCGGTATTTCATTCGACTGGTTGTCAAATCTAGGTGAATGCCTCTCTGGAAAGCAGCTGGAACAGGCTCTTTCTTAGCCAAATTGAGTTTATGAGCTTGCTTCCCTTGGGTATGCCTGAATTATGATATGGTTTGAAAGGCTGATTGATTTTCCCGGATTCTTTCTGTGATTGTCCATTGATTCCATTGATCATTGCAATGGCAAAACGATGGACCTGCCGTTGGACCTGCAGGCGAGGTATCAAAATCGACTGGCCAGTGCCAAGATCCGGGACTATTTGAAGGAGCAGCTCCCACAACAGGACGACGCTGGAAAGAGGGATATATAGGATAGGATGGAATAATGTGGTAAAGCCAATTCATCCGAATGCCACGAACCTACCAATTGGGGATGATTTTTGGCGACCTATTTATCGTCATATTGAGATGGTCTATGGTCAGTTTCTTTCCTTTCTTTGTTTTTGGCAGTAGCTGCACTCATTGGTTTTTTTTCCGGCCAGGAATTGTCCCTGACTCCTGTGCTCCGACGTAAGGTCTGGGACCTCAATGCCATTAAAATGCACAAACAGCAGGTTTCCAAGCACTCTTAGCAGCTGTCAGCTCTCCATGGAAGTGCCAGGCGGTTACTTTTCCAACAGCAGATATTAGTTGTTAATGATCACGATACAACAATGGCATAGCTGACATAGCTATCTTGCCATGAATGTCCAGGCCATGCCATTCTGGCGATCTGATTGGTTCCTGGCAGAGTCAGGCACTCAATTGAATCAATTGAATGTGTTCGAGGTGCTTTTGACTCCAGACATCAAATTGTGTTCAATTGAATGCTCAAATTGACACAGATATTTTTTTGAAGTTGAGTAGACCCGGTAGATCTGGTCACAATATGTCACAATGACTTGCGACATCGACACCACTGACATTGATAGACCATGGTGGACCCAAGGTTTGGTCAAAATGTCTACCCATCGGACAGTGGAGGACCATTGACCTCGTTTCAGGCCGGGTGATACTGCTCTCTGGTGGGAAAGAAGGTGCTTATCATATTTTAACAACCCTGGCTGCGAGGTCTTTGTCCTGGCAGCTGAGAAAATCTTTCAGGTCGGCCGCCCAAATGCTTTCAATCTTCTGCAGTTTCGACACAGCCTTTTCCAAAGCAGCTGTCCTTCGCAGGACCCAGATTCCAAGCCTGGAAGTATTGTTGGGCTGATGAGCGAAGCACAACAGAAGGCGGGAATATTGCGTGGCTAGGACAGCAACAAGCATCAGCAGCCACCAGCATTGCTTTCAGGATGCAGCTGGAACTGTTGGTTTGATCAAGGCTTCCGGGTTGCTGCGGGCAGTTTTGACTTGCTGCAGTTGGTTGAGCCTGTTCTTGTCGTAGGTTGATTTAGACACGGCTTACACATGCGTGTGTTACAAATGTACACCACTGCCTCTAAGTCTTATGACCCACGCGTCTTCTGCTTTTTCGCTGTTCATCATCTGGCCAGCGTTTCATCTGCAATTCTTCATGCGGGCTCAAGATGCAAAAATACATGGTCTGGCAGTCGATCTCAGCCAATCATTGACCACTGTATGAGGCAGACGAACACAGCAATTTGGGTCCCGAGTCACTGATGATGGCAATGCGTCCCACCCATCTTAAAGGAACGGACACATGATTGGGTCTGAGCTCATAAGCTGAAGTCGTCCCAACACAGCTAGCTCAACACCCCAACTTCATCCATCATCTAGATTCATCATGATTCATCTAGGTCATGTTGGATACAGTCGGTATGATACAGTTTGAATACACTAACTTGCAATGTGTTGTGATTGTAGCTTGCGACGGACAGTTCCCAAGTTCCTTCATCAATGGCGGTCTTCAGACGCTTCTCCAGTCCAAGCATGTCCCAATCCCTTCTCCGACCTTGCTTTGCCCCTCGTGGACTCCCTGTTACTTGATGCATTTGGTTGCACTTTTGTTGATTTCATTGTTTAATTGTGATGATTCTGCTTCTGGTGTTGGCGATACCTTTATGTCTTATGACTCTGACACTCATATGATTCATTTTAACATGTTATACATCCCGTTTGAATCTGTTTAAAACTTTTGAGTTCTCAGCTGCTCTTAGGCATCAGAGATGAATTTGGATCCTTTGACCGACTTCATCCTGGATGCCAAGCAAAGGTCAGAGGGCTCGCAGGGGTTGGAGCCTCAGGATTGTGAGTTTCTCCACTGGGAGGGGTGTTACCTTGATGAAGCCTTGATGCTTTGTTTTGTCGCCTTTCTAATCAGATTGTTGGTGTTGGGAGCAGCGCTTGCAACCTGCCAAAGTGAATGAACAACCCTGGCAGGCTTCTTTGCCTCACGGGGGCAGGATTCTCGACAGAATCTGGCATCCCCGACTACCGCAGTCCAGAAGGATCATATTCCAAAGGCCACAAGCCCATGACTCACCAGGAGTTTGTTTCAAGCCCAGTGAATCGAAAGAGGTATTGGGCCAGATCTTTGAGGGGTTGGCGCTTCTTTGACGGAGCTTCACCCAATGTGGCACACAGGGCGCTTGGTGCTCTTGAACTCAGTGGCCATGTGAATGGAGTCATCACTCAAAATGTTGATGGTTTGCACCAGAAGGGTGGCTCCAAAAACGTGATTGAGCTTCATGGCCGGAACGATGAGGTTCGTTGTCTCAGTTGCTTGAGATCCAGACCACGTTCCAGTTATCAAGAGGAGTTGGAAGTTGTAAACAGTGACTGGATGGCTCAATTTCTCCCAGCTGAAGCCATCCTTGATGTCAGGGCAGATGGAGATGCTCAGCTGACAGTTCGCAACTTCGATGGATTTCAGGTTCCGCCCTGCAGCTGTGGAGGAATTTGGAAGCCCCGTGTGGTCTTCTTTGGTGGTGCCTTAGAGGAATCCGTGAAGCAACAGGCTTTGGCGGCGCAACAAGCTGCTGCTGCCCTGCTGGTGATGGGCTCCTCTGTACAGGTCTTTAGTGCCTTCTCCTTAGTCAAGTCTGCTGTGAAAGCAAGGAAACCGGTGGCCATCCTCAACATTGGTGAGACCCGTGCGGATCCTTTAATTCCCCAGGACTTGCGGATGCAATACCGTTGTGGTGAGGCACTGCAAGAGGTTTGCCGAATACTGGGAATTCCAGTTGCCGATAGTCCGATCAAGAAAGCGGGTGGCAAAGAGGGGTGATTCGCTGGAAGCCTCTCCTTTTCTGCAAGGCTGCAAGGAGTTAGTAGATCATTCAAGTTGCTGATTGCGTGCCATGTGGGAGGGGGATGGATGATAATTGTGGATGCGGTCGAGTTTAGCAACACGGCACAATAGTAGGCTGAATGACAGGAATATTAGCAGTCGTTTCTCATACAGTCAAAGAAATCCAAGTCAGACACTGTCTCAGTTTTCGGTTGTTTTCCATCAATGCTGGGGGAATCACAGTTTGTCCACTCCTTGGTTCCAGTGTGAACATGGTATCTGCGTGGTGACGACTTGGCTTTGGTGGTTGACTCCGTGCAGGCTGCGGATTCGTTGTATCGACGTTTGCATAATGCCTTCGAGTCACCAGAACCACAGGCATGCCGCGGGACGGCTGTCGAAATGTCCCGGTCAAATTTCGTTTGTCCCTGCGACTGTGCTTCAGAGGGTCACAGCTTGTGAGTGTTGAAACTGAATATGAAATGAATGCAATATCCTGCCATCCAGAGCATCAAAAAAACTTGAATTGTCATGCAAGGGTCTTGGTGCAGCCAAGAATCTTCGGTCATCTTCAAACTATTTTCATCTATCTTCGGGCATCAATAAAATCCATGAGCCTGCCTTTTGGCATCTTGAGGGAGCATTTCAGCCATATGAGTGAGGTGATTGTTTTCTACCTGAAAGCAGTGAAGCAGCTGCGTAGCAAGATCGCCAATGTGGGTGATGCTTCTTGTCTAAATGCATTCGGTTGTCTGCAGCTGGAGCGCTGCCAGTAGTTCGCCCTTTCCATTGCAGTGGTTGGCCATTAAGGCATGCATCATTCCGCTGGCTATCGGAGACACCATCGTGCCACTGCTGCTGGAGAGAAAGGAAAATAAGAAAGGACCATCTGGAGCCGTCTTGGTGGAGACATTGGTATAGCCCTGGCCTTCCAAAGCCTTGATGAGATTTTGGCGGGTAAGCATGGCTAAGAGGCTGTGTACAGGGTAGCGGGGCTGCTTTGTCTTTCAACCCGGAAGGAGCAAGAGCAATACACTTGCCAAACAAGATTCACTACGTGTGCACGTGATTCTACTTGTACGTTGTTGACCGTGGATAACCATGGTGGAAATTGTGGCTGGTGCTCGCCTAAACTTTACATAAGAGTCCTAAGAGGCAGGTCATTGAAAAACTGAAGAGGTGTCAAATTCCCGCTGTCAGGGATTCCCCTTCAAGGCGGGATTTTCATCCCTAGATTGCACACGAGGTTGTGTGCATGGAACCCCCTCTGGTACAATCGTCCAGGATTGGTAAGATAAGATTTTCCAATTCCTTTTGCTTGCAGTCACTGAAGCAATTGCCAACAGTTTTTGCTGCAGGAGAGCCGTGCTATCGTTTGACGATTTGCAATGGCAGCGGTGGTGTTGTATACCACCGACAGTCAGCCCGAAGTCCGCCAAAACTGAAATACCAAACCTGCAGCCCGGTGAAACAACTCCGCCATGGAAGTTGACACAGCTGCAATCAGCTGCAATCAGCTGCAGCTTGTTGCTGTGATCGCTGTGTCATCGGAATGCACAGCAGCCACAGCACATTCACAGCACCCAGGTATGATCTTCGACGGCATCCCCTGTGAACGTGCAGAAGATGAAGCCTTTTGGACGACGATGGTCACCGCTTGTTTGATCTCCTCCGAGAAGGTGGGGGGCTCAGTTCCAGTTGGAACCCAGTTCAGAGATGTTTAGAGGGATGAACTCAATTGCTGGAGAGCTGAGACAAACACTTTTAGACAATTTCTGCATCTGAGCCTTCCTTCTGAACCCGACTTGAAGCTGTTGTTGTGATGTTTGCGTATCTGAAGTCACTGAATTATGAGGATCCAGGTGAGCTCTTCTACGACACCTTCCTGCCATACCTCATTAACGCTCCTGCTGTCGTTGATGTTCTCCATCCAAAGAAGAAATCGGAGGCGAACACTTTGGAAGTGCCCGAGACAGACTTCCACTCTGTCCCCCGAATATTTGGCCCGTGGAGAAGCCTCACCTTGCTTTGGAAGCACTTGCTGCGGAGCCGTGCAGGGCTCACCAAGCAGCAGGTGAAGTGTCTGAAGTGGGAGCTTCGAGAAACGCTGCTACAGATGTGTGTCCATGACTCAGATTCCAGATGATCATCAGATGATTTAAGTCAATTCTGAAGGCCCACGTGTTTTTCAACAGTCTTTGTTGCTGGCAAGTTCGCACGTCATGAACGGGATCTATAGTAATCTAATGAATCTACAGGCATCAAAGCTGTGACAGAGACCGGTAGATCAACGGTTGATGCATGGCCGCATGGCCGTCTGCCATTTTCCAGATTCTAAGGTCCATGACTTGAAGGCATCCAAAGGTCTGGACTCCACGGATCTCCGGCTGCTGAAGATGGGCTGTGGCACCACTTCATTTGCTGCGGTCAGGAATCACACCAGTGCCACGGATACCAGGCCAGATGAAGACACCCTGAGCCTGCCAGCGGCCACCAAGTCCTTGTGGGAATGTCGGCGAGTGGTTGATGCTATTGAAATCCTCTGCGCCCAGAAGCCAAGAACTTACGAAGGCCCTGGAGAGAGCTGCCGTTGCCGCATGTTGCCGTTCATTTTGTGAACAGTCATCAGATGTCATCAGTGTGGTACAACTTGAATGGCCACCATGGAATTTTGATATTCGCAAGATTAAGACAGTGCGTCGTGGAAAACACACTATACAAATTATATCAAATTATCGCAAGTGTTCGATTTGGCATACAGACAAATCAGGGATATTTCAATATTTCCCACATCTCGTTTGCTTTTGACATGTTGAAAGTGTGCTTGCAGGACAAGATGGCAGCGGAGAGTTTGCCTCCTATCTGGATCTGGAGACTTGAGAAGGTTTCAGTTTGAGAAATGGGAAGGTTGGGCACCTAAACGGACCAGCACTTTACTCAGCTTCCTACATAGATTTTGGATCTACCTTTGCAATTTCTTACCAACATGATTCGATCCGCAAAATGGTTGACTTTCTGCCAGACACGTGCTGGCGAGTGCTTAGTATGGACAGTTCAGCAATGACCTGAGGACACAGGAGAGGACAAGATGAGTCAAAGCGCAGTCTTCCCCTTCTTCGACCGCCTGTTGAGACAAGAGGTTTTCCCTGGAAAGCCGAAAGGGGTCGCAGAGCAGCTGCCGATTGATTTGTTGGCATTGCCAGAGAAGGCACATTGATTTTGTGGATATGGATCTGGGGAAAGGGATTGAACTCGCTGAAACACGCTGAAACTGTGGTGTGAGTGGCCGAGTGTGTGTTTGCAGGTTAGCTCCATGACAGAGCTCTTCAGGACTTTGCGCATAGCGGAAGAAATCTGTTTGAAGCTGTCCTTCATCAGTGGCTTGACATGTCTTGTGGTGTGCCTTTGACAGCTCATCAACAGTCAAGTTCCGGGTTGCTTTCAGCTCAGACATAAAATGATGGGAATGGCTAGCACGCATAAGGTATTGTATTCATCCAGATATTAATGAATCTGAATCAACATATACACGTGTAGCTCTGCTGGTATCAAAAAAAAGTACAAAAACATGTTTATCGGGATTGCACATGTAGGCATTATGTACACATGACTTGAACGCCCACATTCACAGTTCTTCTATTACTTGTCAGTAGTATGGCGTCCTGTGTTTCATCATATGATCTATCATATTTTGTCGATAATCTGTCTATGTGCCCCTAGGTCTGATGCCCACTTGCATCGCACTACTCACTACTCAAGTCCACACTGGGTTGTTTTTTTTACATTCCGCGAGACTACTTGTTCGGAAGTACAGGACGATATTGCAGTAGGTACAATTCACGGAAGGCAGCTAACTGCTTTACACACGAACCACATATCAAATGAACTAAGTCGGTCAGAATCCTAGTTTCCGAATACCACCTCCAGTTTCCGAATACCACTCGCCAGTTTCCGAATACCACCGTGACCCATATCAAATATGACATTTTATGCGATTGTGTGATTTTTACTCCAGACTCCAATGTGTTTGCAAAGACACGCGTCAGCCTACTTTCACATTTGCTAGCTCACGGCCTTTGGTTATTCCAACTGCAGGTCGTGAACGCTGCGAGTATGCGCCTTACCTTTTGGTTTCTCGATCAGCAAATTTTCTTCCAATCGTCCTGGGTGAAGTGTAGTTTGAATCAAATTTGATAAACCTAAAGTGTACGTTTCCTGGAATCACAGAAGTTCCCAGGGAACGGTCTGAAACTTGCGATTCATGGGAGAACGGTAGAGCTTGATGACGTTGATGACGTTGATGACGTTGATGGTTTTGCAGCTTTGCACCTGACTTGGCAGCGACCTGTGAGGTTTGCCTTCAACAGCATTTGTTCACCAAACTGCTCCCTCTTCCACGTGGGCCTTACTCCTCGTCTCTGGGACCTGTCACGGCATGGGCTGGAGAATCTCCTGGTTTTGGTAGAATTAAAATGAATTAAACATGTTTTATGCCTATTCTATCCTATTCTTATCTATTCTAGTCTAAATTCTCCAGGTCAACGGGAGCTTTTGACAGGTTTGGCCGCAAAACGCCATCTGCCCAGGAAGCAGGAGGAGTGCGACATTTGGGGCGGCTGGGATGGCAATCATCCGACCGTCACACGGTCGATGCAGCTGGATATGCTGCAGGTCCTAGGCCGCCTGGTGGAGTTCCTTGGAGACACCAAGTGATGCAGCTGAAAAGTTGAGTGAAGATGTATATGCAGCAGTTATATAAACTATGTATAAACATACTAAATAAATATATAAATCAATAAAGAAATAGATAAGTAAATAAACAAATAGATAAATAAATAATAGATAGATCCATAAATAGATAAATAAATAGATGAAAAAATAAATAGATACAGACATAAATAAATCAGCATGTATAATACATGTATATATATATATATTATACACACACACGAGTAATATGTTTGTTCACAAGGGCCACTAAGAATATTGTTGTCTAATTAGCCCAAGATGCGGGATGGGCAAGGACTGGACATGCATTGGTTCGTCTGCGTGACCACTGCCGGTATCAGGAAAAAGACCACCTTGATCAACCATGTATAAGGCCTATGTAAGGCCTATGTAAGGCCTATGCAAGGCCGACGCAAGGCCGATGTAAGGGAATATCCCCACAAAAGAAATTCCCACTGACTTGACACTTTTGCCGTTTTGATTGTAGTACGGCTTGCTGGATCTGGACAGCTCCCTGTAAATTCAGTTTCAATGACAAGAGTCGTTCTATATGTAAAGTTGTATAGTTCTCCTTTTTCAAGAACCGCTGTCTCCTTCTTGAGGCTTTTTGTGTGCGCATCTTTGGACATTTAGCTGCACTAGCCAACGCGAGTTCATACAGTTTCAGCTTCGTGGTAGTAGTAGCAGGATTGATGTCAGAAAACTTGTCGATCTGTTCTGCAGGACTTTGCTCACTCGCCTTATAGAAAGAGGGATCCCAAATAGATACATTCTATATCAGGACTCCAGTTTCCTAAAATTCAGGCGTTCATGGCATGTTCTTTTGCGACTGCAAGTGGGCCTGTCTTGAACAGCAGTGCGGTGGGTAACAGCCAAGGAGATGCGGTGCAAGAACCACACTGCCCGCACCTTCGATGCTGTGAAGATTACAGTGCTCTCGGCTTGTGCGGCGATGGCAGATCGCATCATCCGCATTTGGCCCATGGATGACAGGTGGGAGATACTGCTATTGACTAGAAGCCGATCAAAGCTTGGGAAGTGCATTTGAAATTCTTCTTGCCTGACGCAAATGATGGGTTCCTTTGGGCTTGGTTTTTGGAAGTCACATCGTCACAACCTATTGATTTCCGATTCGTTGATTTCACGGTTGCTGTTTCCCAGTAGCTGCACCCAGACATGGTGTTGGACAGGCTCTTCAACAAGGAAGAACGTCCATCGGAGTTGACAAAAGCTCTCCACGAAGGCTTGCGCTAACGCAACGGTATGCTTCGAATGCTTCCAAAATCTGGACCATCAAAATTCACAATTGATGGATGTTGATTCAGGTGACGGTCTATTTCACAAGGAATTCCTGTTCCGTTTGGACTGCAGATGTGTTAGGTCGATTAACTTGGATGA